GAGAGAGAGAGAGACTGGTTTAATATAAGTGATAGTTTGTAAATGACATATGTGATGACGTAAACATGCTATTTGCATGATTTGTTTACTTCAAATAAATAAATCTGTTTGATTCACATTAAATATACAAAGAAATTTAATATCAAAGAAATTTAATATCATTAAATATCAAATACTTGCGTAATCAATTTAATCAATCTTTATAAAACAAAATTATAGTAATACTAAGAAAAATGACAAGTATAAATGCCAAGTTATCTTCGAAATGAGGATTCATTTCATTTATACCTATATACTTATATTGTATCTATTCGTATTAATATTTCAACCTACGCGACTAAATGACTTAATATGTTTTCGGAGAAAGTTCAGTGCAGCTATTTGCAAGCTCTGATTTCACAGAGTTGTAATTTTTATCGTACGTACAGAATACTGAGCGTTTTCAACCTACGCGAAATGTCGTTATGATTTCTACGGCTCTACTAAAATGTTTGTGAAATGGTAGTTCCGCAAGCGTGCAGAAAAACTCACGCAGAAAACAATGCAGCCATTTTGTCTAGGTCGTTTATTGTTCCAGCGTACTACATGATAATTGCATTTATCTGCATATCTTATCAAGAAATCACGGTACGAATGCATTTTTGGAGTTAGGAATAAATTTTTCACTAAAATTTAATTAGATATCACGAATTATTATTATCATAATTCGATTTAAATCGATGATATTATTAAATTAATTGTATTATTTTTTTATAATAGCATTAAATTTCCAATAAAAATTCCGTATTAAATTAATTAAACAAGATCTTTTAATTCAGAATTCAAGATTATTATTTTTCTGAATTTAAAGATAAGATAGCAATAAATTAAGCTTTTAATAAAATTAAAATTTTAATAAAAATTAAGATTGAACAAGACAAAACATATCTTTAATGGATTTTCTGAATGCTTTTATTAATATCTTGCAGTACAATTACAATTTTTTATGTGGTATTAAATATTATTTACAAGTTAGAAAAACATTTTGTTTTTTATTCCACTTTTAATAAGTTAATTTTAATACTAGATAGTATTATTATTAATATTATCATTCAAGTAATAATGATAAATCATTAATGATATAATATAACAAGTTTTGTGGTTTGATTTAATTATGTCTTTATGTGGTTTTCATCATTTGTATGACAACAACACTAAATAAATACTTTCCTTAAAGTGAAAGAAATAAAATTTTAAAATATAAAAGATTCTAATTATTACTACATCCACGCTACGTATATACAATAAATAATAAAAGCAATGTGCGAGTTTTCGGCACAAATATACGATAAATAATATTGCTCTTAAATGTGCATTTAATTTAATATTTTGTTACAAATCTAGATTTAAATCAATTTAAAATATCTTTTTAAACTTGATCGAAAAGAGATAGGAATCTCGTTTCTTTGATTATGCATCGGTATAGAAATTAACACGAGAAATTCTATTGTAGATTTGTATATTTCTAGCTCTTCTCATCTCGAAAGAGTATAAAATGCAAAAGTGACTGTCAAGTTTAATTTCCCCCCTGGAAACTCGTTGAATTGCATAGCAAATGAACAAGATCTGTATTTCAAATGTAGGTTGTTTATCGTCTCACTGACACTAAATCGATGATGATTGAATGAAACTGTCATGAAACGTGTAATTAGGTTCATGGACTTCTATCACAAACAATTTATTGCACAGATGTTGTCTCGTATGCATATTTTTTTCACTTGTTTTTTTCTCGCATTCGATTCATGTTGTCACTAAAATTGCAATCCATTAAAATAATTTTTACAAAGACACTCAAATAAATCCATATTTCGATAACAACATATTAAAATATTTTTCGAGCAGCATATTACACCAAGTTAAACCCATATTTAATAACAATAATTAAAATAACGTACAAATATTAAATAAAGAAATCGTGCAAACAGATTTAAAAACATTTCTTGTTTAATTCACTATTTTTAGTCAAGTGGAGATTAAAAGGAATAATTTGTTTTTTTGCAAAGTTTGTATCTCATCATATTTCATGTTCTCAGAAACTATTTAAATAATTAAAATCTAATCATATAGCTAATCTATCATTAAAGGCTAATCAATTATTATTTGCTTGATTAACAAATAATAATTGACTAGTCTTTAACGATAGATTAGCTATATGATTAGATTTGGTAAACTATTATTATTGCGTGTGGGATGTTATAAGAGCAGCACTGATAATGTCAAAGCAAGGGACTTGTTTGTAATCTGATGAATGCTTACAAACAACACAGGATAATTTATGGAATATGTGTTACGTCATTCAAGTTGCGTGATAACTCTAATTAGTTTTAATATTATGTTGTAATGGTTTAATTGTTAATTTTGTTTATCTCTCAGATTCTAAATGATTATAAATAAGATTTTATTTTACTATGTCAATATATTAATATCAATTATGGAATTAAATTATGTAAGATTTATTAAGAATTATTTTTATATTATTAAATATAATGTTTTGTTACATTTATTAGACAGATGTAGATTTATATTGATTATGAAGAAATATACATTACACATACATTATTATGACAATGCATCATATGTGACATTGTACTTGAATAATCTGAAATAATTACATTTAATAATTATGTAAGGCATAGTTTTTTCAAAAACGAAATAGTATTATCAAAAAAAAATAATAATAATAAAAAATTAAATATCATAAACATCGATAATTTGTTTGAGTCTGTCAGAAAATATTAAATAGCAACGTTGTGTCGTTTGTTGCAGGTACATGGCCATTATGCATCCCCTTAAACATCATATGTCTCGCAAGAGGACAGTGATAACTTTAATTTTAATCTGGGGCATCTCATCTGCACTAGCGATTCCGTGCCTTTTATATTCCACAACGTCATTACGCAGGTAATTATAATAATTATCAGCAAAAGTAATTTTTTATTAATCTTGTGTATATGTACAATTCAACTTTAACATCTCACTTCTTTTTATAACATTCTAAATTTTTATCTATATATATAGTTGAGAAATAAGTATAAACAGAATAAAAATGCAACAGGTAATATAACTGTTGTATTATATTAAATAATAATTAATACATTCCAATAACAACGTCAGTTATTTTATATTATACATCTCATGTCATTTCTTATAATACAGCAGATCGTTGAATATTCTCCGAAGAATGCATTTCCATTTCAGGCAGGTTTCGTAATAAATAAAATATGAATAAATATGAATAAATATGAATAAATGTATTACGTCGCAAATATGAATTGCTAGTCACGTTTACAAGAATGCATCGCACGCCATAGAGCCAAATCACTTACGTAATGTAATTAAAAAAAAAAATATATATAGGACGTTTACATAAAAACTAAAGTAAGATTATGTATCCTTTTCGTTTTATTTTTGTGCAAATATAAAACATATCATTTCTTGATAAATTTTAACAAAAATACCAATATAATATAAACAAAATATAAAATATAAATTTCTGTAATATCATAAGAAAAAAGATAATACATGAAATATGTACCGTATGTATGATAATATGTATCGTATATCTATAAAAATCTCTAAAATTATTATATATTGATACCGTATTGATTCCGTGAATACTCTTTATAAAAATTTATCTATTTCAGGTATTACTTGTCTCGTTATCAAAAAGTTTTTTTCCATATACATATGTTTAATCGGCGAAAAAAGAAAATTCATAATTTTAAAAATACATCAGCAATTTAAATATATATAATTGAAAACTCATTATTTTGATTATTGTAAACCAAATTATATTATTAATATTAGTAAAGTTTAAAAACATATAATTTGTTTAAAATATTCTTTATGTTTCATATAACAGAAATTTGAAACTTTTGTTAAACGCATAATGATTAAAACGTGTCGTTTTATTATTAAAACATGGCCTATAATCTCCTTTATCAGATAATTCGATCACAATGCCTTAGTTTCATGGCTTGTACGTATCTACCTGCATATAATGTCATCTGCATCACTAGCCATAAAGCACCTATAGGCTTACATGGTTTTATCTTCACAAATTATTGCATATGAGTTTATGCGTCATGTATTTTTTTATTTACGCATTTCAATATCACATTTTCAGATGTATTAATGATATGTATTGTTAATAGGAATGTTAAAGAATTAATTTATAATAATATAATAAAGCAAGCATGCTTTTTGTTTTGCTGCAAATTGATAACTCATAAAATCGGAATAATATTAAATAAAACATATAATTAAAATTTTTAACTAAAACAATTTAATTTAATAATTTATCTAACATAAATTTGTCCTAAATTTATTATTTTATCTTTAAACCTTATATAAAATTTATAGATAATATATTAGGTCAATAATCCGCCCGCAGCCAGGTAAAGCTTTAAGTTATCGTTTTAAGTCAGTAGAAAGATGACTTTTTTTCTCACCTAAATGTTCTTGTTTGCTTATTTCTCTCTCTCTCTCTCTCTC